TTTTGATGGGCCAGGCTTCCGCTTCGTACATCATCGCAGGTCTTACAACGGCCAACTTTACACTCATTATCCTATCGCTCCTCCTTCCCACGCACACCAAATCCTCCCTCCACTTACTGTCCAGCACAATGCCTACACCGTTCCACCTCGTCTCCTGCACACACAACCCTCCCACCTTTCTTCTCTCCATCAGGTCTGCCAGCTCTCTACCCCTTCCTGTCATGCTTCCTGCGTTCAGCGTTCCAACTCTTAGATTTTGGACTAACTTCCTTGGCCGCGCCCGTCCTTGACGTGGTAGCCCTTGCTCACTTATCACAGGGGTCTCCGAGGCTACATTCAAATGAACTGTCATTTTTTGGTTTTGGCAGGGTTTTTACGGCCGGATGCCCTTCCTGAAGCCAACCATCCCCATTTATCCGGGCTTTGGACCGGCACCGAGTTGTGCTGGCTTGCACCTCCAGTGGCTGGGTTTTTCATAAGACATTAGTACTAGGCCTATTATATTTTAAACACTAAGTTCTTAATCTTGCCTCTTAACGGATTTTCAAGAAATAGAATAATGTTTAATAATAGCATTTCGACCTTACTATATTTGTCATATCCACTAATTGCTGACGACGCGTTTCGCTCAATCTAAAACTTTTCAGATTGTCTGGGATACAATAAATATTGTTACGACAGCGTAAGTCACGCGACGCTGGGAGCATGCATGCTGGAGTTTCTCGAAGGATCATGAAGGCCCGAATGCATTCGAGACGCCCTCTTTTTAGTATATAAGCCTGACTAGAAAAACCATGGATTGAAGAAATAGATAATTGAGTCAAGCGAACAGTAGGCACGGTAAGTAAAGTGTCTGAATCACTGTGATTTATAGCGTGTATTATAAAGGTTGTTAAGTTTAAAGTGACTGTTGGAATTCTGTGTATTACAAAGTTTGTATCCAGAAAGAATAAACTAGTTTTAATCAAGAAAGGACTTGTATCGCTGAAGTTTCTCGAAAAGAATTTCAACGGGAAATTAACAAACAAGCAGATAGTAACAAATTGGTGTCAGAGAGTGGGACGGAAAAAAGAGAGAGAGAAAGAAAAAAAGAAGATGGAAACGAGAAGTGGCTAATTAAACCACGGCTTAGCAGATTTGATGGCAGCAATACAAGAACAGCAACATAAACAAGAAGAGAGACAACAGCAGTGGTAGTTTGAACAGCAAAATAAACAAGAAGAGAGACAACAGCAGTGGCAGTTTGAACAGCAAAATAAACAAGAGAGATTATAGCAGTTGTTGGAGGAAAAAGAAAAGAAACAAGAGGAGAGACAACAGCAGTGGCAAGAAAACGTGCAACAGTGGCAGCTTGAACAGCAAAATAAACAAGAGTTATTATAGCAGTTGTTGGAGGAAAAAGAAAGGAAACAAGAAGAATGGGAAAATAAAAAAAGAGAGATTACAGCAGTGGCAAGAAACCCAGCACTAGTGGCAACTGTAATAAGAAAAGAAGCAGGAAGAAAGTCTCCAACAGTTGCGAGAAAGTGAGCAGCAACTACAGGAAAGTCAACAACAGTGTCAAGAAGTACAGATGGAAAATATTAGTAAATTTCAAAGTGAATTAAATACATTAAAGGACGATTTACTGTTCTTTACACAGCGAGGATATATTAACCAAAGATCTAATCAGCCCCAGACAACGGAAAGCCCTTTCCAGACCCCGCAGCTAAACCCTAATGCAGACATCTTCAGTCCTGTTAGAAGTTACATTCCAGACATGAGTGTCAGCAATAGGGGGGATCTAGTATTAAGGAAGCCACAGGAATTCGGTGGGAAGCATATAGAGCACAATTTGAGCTTTGGCAGAAATGAATGGATGGACAGAGGAGCAGAAAGCAGTGTACCTGGCAACGAGCTTGAAGGGACAACCACTGGAAATACTTGGACAGTTGTCAGCAGACAACAGACACAACTATAGATCACTGTTAGCTGCTCTAGAACTCAGGTATGGAACTCAAAATCAGTCCAAAGTCAACAGGGCTATGTTTATGACTAGAGTCCATGCTAAAGGGGAGAGCCTGCAAGAGCTGGCACAGGACGTGGAAAGTATGGCACACAGGCCTACCCAACTGCACCAACTGATGTCCTCAAGCTGTTGCTGAGGGATCAGTTTATAGATACCTTGGGCAATCCACAACTGAAGATACAAGTGAAGCAAACACACCCCTCTGCTATGCAGGATGCAATGGCCAGAGCTCTTGAATTCGAATCCTATGTTAAGTCCAGCACAGAGGTATCAATGTTGGTACAGTCATCAGGATTCAAGGCCAGAAAAGGGCAGCTTTCAGATAGGTTTGAGAGACTTTGCTGGCACTGTAACAAACCTGGGCATAAGAGAGCTCAATGTTGGCAACTTCAACACAAGGAAGATGCCACAACAGGAAAGGCTGCTACCCAGAAAGGTTGTTGGAACTGTGGAGAGCAAGGACATATGAGGAGCCAGTGTAAGAAGAATACTACCAATAAGTCAGCTTTGGCAAACCAGTAGTGGTTGGTGCTGAGGGACGCCCACCAACCCCATTGTGAAAGTTCCAACAGCTAAGTGTAAAATGGCTAGCACACATAGTGTCTACGTGACAGGAAAGCTGGATGGCCAAAAGTACATCTTTGTCCTAGATTATGTATCTCAGCAAACCCTTGTGAGTATGAAGGTGCTACATCACAAAGGAGTACCAGAAGCCATACAGAAGCTTTGCGGTGTGACAGGACATTATGCAACTATTGATCTCATGGGCATGAAGGACAGACACAAAGTATACTTGGCTGACGTTGAAGACCAATGCATACTAGGGTTGGACTAGTTACTACTGAGGAAGTGTGTAGTTTATTTTGATAAAATGACGTTTGGGAACACCAAAGGCCAGTAAGTGTTGCTGCTTCCGTTGATGGGCATGTCACAGCACTTAAGTCAACTACAATACCCCTATGTCAGAGAAGATAATTTGGGGTA